AAACTCAGTGATATTGATAACTTCTTCGGCTTATATATTGTGTTGTAAAAGTAACTTTATAGTTTAGAGAATAAAGACTGAAATAAAGTAGTATCCTAAATTTTATTTTAATTTCCGGATGGTAGATTATTTTAAAACATTAGACACGTCATTTTTCTTTGCTTACAAAATTAAATACTTTCGACGATATATTGATTTGAAATATCGTGTGACGTTACGATTTACTACATTTTATACGGTAGCGTTATATCTAAGTCTTGTTTTCTTATACGACGAAATACAAAAATAGTTGTGTAATATTTTTTCATTATCTAACTGATGGACTAATTACATTTATAATTTTCATATACTGTCTACTACCCTATTGTGAGAGAAACAATGTATTAAATTTGGAAGTAAGAACTGAATATGTAAAAATATAAGTAACAATATTAGTTTCTATTTCGAGTTTTCAAGTTACTATTTCGTATTTATATTTAAATTATGTTTTTAAAGATTCCTTCTCACGCATGAGGGTGCGGGCTCGAAATCTACTAATGGCAGGTATGAATGTAACATTTTCCGAGTTATATGTACTTTCTAATATTACTTAGACACTGACTAACGGTGAAGGAAAACATCGTGAGGAAACCAGGGCTTATTATTTCTAATTATAAGTTTGAAATCGTCAACCCGCAAGCAAGCGTTATGATCCATACTCAAACCTATAGGCATTTATAGGCTGTTGACATCATCATTATAGGTTATCATATAGGCCCAACATTATCACATGATAATGTGATATTTGGGAGTAGTAATGTCTTATATTCAAAGCATAAATAAAGTTAGTATAATACCTATCAAGAGCGATAATTATTAAGTTATCAAAATATGTCAATTACAGTCTAACAGTAAAAGAGCATGGTTCATAAAAAAAGAACAGTCTAAACTCAACAGATATTTCTATACACATAAAAACAATAAACTATATATATAATTAATGCTATGCTATATCGTTTATCTATGAAGATATATAGACTCAATTAACATTTTTTGCTTAAAAAAGATGCTCTCAACTTTATAAGCCATTAAATAACGTCGTCTACAAGCAAAAACTACTGATCTAAATATATACTTAACATTCAGTTTACTTCCACAAACTACCCATATTAAATTCCACTCTGACATAATTCCTCCGGTTTAATCCACTGATCAAGTTCGTACTGATATCATAACCAAGTATAATTAGATCAAAACTTTGCTAATTGAAATTTTGAGGATTCAGTTTATTGTAAACTGATGCTGTCGTACTAATTGATTGAACATCTATCTAGATTATGTACTAGGTATTAAGTTCATAGTATCTCTCCTAAGGTGGTACTTAATTAACTATTTTATTTAATTACTAGCTTTTGCCTGCGACTTCGTCCTCGTGGAATAGTGACTTCCGGCAGAAAAGTATAGATAGCTGTGCCCGCGACTCCGTCAGCGTGTAACTCTTGTGTATTAAGTTAATGAATGGAGTAACTTCTCCCGTTTTCCCAATATTTCCCTTCACTGCTCTGCTCCTATTGATCGTAGCATAATGAAAAGTATACTATAACCTGCCCAAGAGTATAAAGAATAATTGTGCCAAATTTCGTTAAAATCCGTCGAGTAGTTTTTGTTTCCATAACGAATATACAGACAGACAGACAGACAGACAAAAATTTTTCTGATTGCATTTTTGGCATCAGTAGCGATCCCTAACCACCCCTTGATAGTTATTTTTTAAATATATTTTATGTACAGAATTGACCTCTCTACAGATTTATTATAAGTATAGATTAATTAATTAGTTGACTGCCTCGTTCGTCGGCAAAGTATTACTGGATTAAAAAAAAGTCTCAGTAGTAGCACGAAGTCCGGAATTGTTCCTGGTATATGGCAATAGACTCACCCCTGTTACATGGAACTTATAACATAAATGTTGAAAAGTGGATGTTACATTGTACAGTGGCATTAAGTGCTGTAATGTGCACCTCTGCCCACCTCTAAGGGGATAAAATGCGTGATATTATGTTACGTTATGTGTTACGTAATTAACTAAAACTATCGGTTCAATTATGTTAATATGTATACTTAAAAAAGACAGAAATGGTCTACTAGTTTACTGGGCTGTGTGACGTCACTGTGTCACACTGCTCGTGAAGAAGAGTATTTCTGGGACTTGAAGTTCGGCTGGTAGATTAAAGTTTAAATGTGAGAGAGCCATGCAATGGCACGAATGGGCCGGCTCGACCGGAGTGATTTCACGGCCTCATAGAACACAGACGTGAAGCAACGCTTGTGTTGTGTTATATCGTGTGAATGAGGTTACCAGAGGCTCCCCAATTACCCCTCCCCTCCTTCCTCAATTTTCCTAATCCCCAAAGCGTCGGCAACGCACTTGTAACGCCTCTGGTGTTCCGGGTGTCCATGGGCGACGCCGATTGCTTACCATCACGTGATGGTTCTGCTCGTTTACCGGCTGAGCTGGCCCGTTCGTGCCGATGCACGACTGTCCCATACTTAATCTAACTACAGTCGAATAAATGCTTTGTCTCTCTTTCTTTCATCAGCTCTATAAATAAGAAAAATAAACAGAGTAGTTATTGCCGCTGGGCAGAAATATGTAATTCCACAACCAGTAGCAGAAGACAAACTAGGTAACTAAACCCAGCTGCAAAATAACAGCTTAAAACAACAAGCTAATATTTTGTATCAAAACTGAAGCTATGTAGTTGGTTAGCAAATACACAGTAGCACACAGAATCAGACAACTTTATTTGAATGAAAAATCACTGGTATATTCCTATGTTGAGATTTTTTTAGATGAAACAAAATATGCTAGGAATATCGTCACTACTATGACAGAAAGCTAACTCAGAACGAATGTTAAATTAGGAAGATGTTTATGAATGTCTTACAAGAACTTTACGTTAATACGTTGATATATCGTACCGAAAATTTGTTAATACAAAAGTAGTCTCTAAACATCAGAAATGAGGTTTATAATGGAGTTAGCAGCGAGTTACCGGTAACTGCTTGGAGATTGCCAGTTAAAATTAAACCGTAATAATAGTGACATAAAACTCATGTTTTAGTATTTTTTTTAATGAATCTAACCCGCCTCAACCTCCTAAAACAGCTGTAAGTAAATACAACCATAATAACACCGGGACAGATAACTCCGGCGCGTCCCAGGGACATGAACTGTCTTTGTTCTCGCGAAAAAAAGAAATCAGAAAATATTATTAGAGGAGAAGAAAAAACAATAGTCATCATACTAGTATGCTAAAATACCGTTTCTGTCTAACTTTTCGGGAAATGTAAGAATTGTTGGCGTTACCAATCAATACATAGTATAAAACAAAGTCGCTTTCGCTGTATGTCCGTATGTATGCTTAGATCTTTAAAACTACGCAACGGATTTTGATGCGGTTTTTTTTAATAGATAGAGTGATTCTTAAGGAAGGTTTGTATGTATAATACATGCATATTGCACCCGTGCGAAGCCGGGGCGGGTCGCTAGTAGATAATAAAAGCAATTTGGGGTGAACAGGGGTCAATACGAGGCGTTTTCCGAAATATTCGATACTCACACTCGAAAAATATCTAGTTCAGTAAATCGAATATCTCGTTGGTTATTTACATTCAACTATTCACCCAACAAGGCAATGTTTTTTTATATGTCTATGTTTAAACATTCAAATGACTTTTTATTTATCAATACATCAATACATTTTTTTTTTTTTTTTTTTTTTTAAGTGGGGAAAATCATCGAATGACTGCCCCCGCCTGGGTGAGGCGGGAGGGAGTGTCAGACTCTTACTGACTAAAAACCACCCCGTTCCTTCTCCTGCACGTCGAGCCGGAGCCCCGGT